AATCGACTCAGCTCGTCGCCCTGATCAAGAATATATATACTTTGTGGGGTCTGCCACGCTCCCTTCTGCCTGTTACATACATTTCAACAAAACCATTATACCCTGATATCATTTTCAATGGGTTCAGGGTATAAAAACGCGAATTTTTTGAAATATGTATAAAAGAAGAGCCTTGCCCCGTTTTTCATTCATGAAGACCATTGTGTATTGAGCTCATTGACATACACAGTGAACAGGCAGACTTTACTATTATTATCCTCCCGTCAAAGAACTATGTTAAGTTCGAAAGTAATACATATATTACATAAATATCAAAAATAATATAATTATATCTCCTCTATATTGAATCAGTTTAATAAACCAAATTTAAAAACAGTTTTTATTAGTCTTTAAGTTTGTCTTTGATTATAATTAAAAGGTTTCTGATATTTTGACCTTAATTTTACGAAAATTCGTATGCCAAAAGACCAATCGAAAGTCATTCGGCAAAAAGACTTTTGAAACTATTTAACTACTTCAAGCAAGAAGTTTTCAGTTGGTAAATAGAGGGTAAATCTGATATTAATTTCAACACTCAATAGCCAAAATCTCGACGCCCCCGCTATATCTCCACTGATATCTTGATTGATTTAATCAACGCTAGTACATTCCTTTTTTCAAAGCGGTCTGCCCTAAACGGTCTGTCGCAAAAATCAAGCACAACTTCAAAAATTCAAGTATTGAGCTTCAATTAAGCATATTGCGCAAAACCAATATGCTCATTTTATTTTTATGGATGAGTATATCAGTGTAAGAATATGTGTAAAAAAAGAACATGTAAATAAAGTTCCATTGAAACTTGTGTGATTTGTAAAATTTAATTTAATTATTAGGTATATTAATATTCGATTTTTTTTAGCATGATTCCAATTGTAATATTTTTACTTAGGTAACTAAAAATAGGTTCGACGTAAATGTCGCGATTCCGTTAACTATTACATTGACAAACTGGACACAACTTCCACGAATTGTTGTGAACACTGTTGCTCAGCGTGGGACGAAGGTGTACCTTCTTACTGCTATAAGTAAACGACCCTTTTTCAGATTAGTTCAAAATTGCTGACGCAGCAGGAAGTGAAGAAAACAACTTGTTAAATTGCCTACTGCGAATGCTGCTAAGAAAATCTCAAAGGTTACTTATTTACGACTCTCTTTACTCATTCCTCATCAGCATACTCTTGTCATTCGAATCGGGGTCTACTATATGTGAAAACTCTGGTTCGCATATGTAGTCTAATTAATTATCTGTTATATTTTTAATCTCAGTACAGTTGGATCGATGTTGAGAGGATCGCGTCAGTACCGTTCCTTTGTTATTTAAAGAGTTCAGGACAATCTTCTCCACGCTGTTTCAGCGTTTTCATGTAAATCTCAGTATTGAACATTGCATTAGCTCTCGTAATAAGGTCTATATATTTTTACTCGTATCTATATAAAGAGACGCGTTTTACAAATATCCCAGCGCAAACTCATATATACGCTGGCGGATGTCCTGCGGCGCGAGTTTTATTGGAATCGGAACAGACGTCAGTTCGTTGCCGTCTCAAGCTGCGACAAAGACGAAAATCGCACCCCTACATAATCCGCCCAATGTTTTCTTATCTTTAAGCTGGCTGTTTACCTGCGCAGCTGCAATTATCCTATGGTGTATGCGCATGTGGCACAAACCGTGTCCTACACATCACGTTTTTCTTGAGACAATGGCCAAGGGGACGATTCTGTAATTTGCGAGAAAAATAGGCATACACATACATATGTATATACATCTATGTACATATGTATATAAATGCCCTCACTTTGCACATATAGCTCAAAAGTGACCCTGGTCGAGGCCAAACTTAGTTTGTCCTCTTTCCCTTTACTGTCCGTAACCATTCACGTTTCTCTCTTGCTCTTCCATATGCTAATTAGTAACTCACTGTTTAAATTGAGCACCCCTTAATTTAAGCGAAGAATATTCATGAATCCCCCAAAATATAAAAAGTTATTTATAGCAGCGAAACCATAATCTTTCCAAATAAGTTACAGAATGTATCTTTATCAATTAGTTTGTTAAGCATAATAGAATAAAATAAGAAGAAATAAAAAAGAATAAATAAAAAATAAGAGAATAATACTAGCAAAAATAGTGAAGTCGGGCGCAACTAATTCAGAATAGTCGTGGTGGATTATAGGTTGGATTATAGATTATATATATATATTATTAGGCAATATTAAAACTCAAAGTTCACACAAACCCGCGAACGGTCATCGCCCAAAGCGAATATACTTGAATCCCTGAGTGAGCGAGTATAGTTAGTAAAATGCATATAGTTATTTTTTGGTTCGAGCGACGCTTTGTTCCCTATTCTGGTTTAATAGCCTTTTTCGAAAACCTTGCGAACGCGTCCCGCCGTTTCGAACAGATTAGTGAAATGCAAAATCCCCGTGAAGCCGTAAGAATCACAATGAAGCGTTCCGTGGCTGCACAAAGACATCGCCGAGCAGCAGGAAGAGCGACAGCGCGGCAGTCGAGGTCAAAACCATTCGCTGGCAGCCACCAGTTAGCCGACAGCGTCTAATTGAATCCGCAACAGCAAAGTTGGCTCAGTTGGTTCACGGGGCGGGCTCCCCCTTCTGCGTGCGACATCGGCTTGTTGTTGTTCTGGTCTGGTCTGTTCTGTTCTGCTCTGTTCTGTTCTGTTTACCCGCTGACATCAGGCACTCTTTGCGTGGCGCGAAATAAGAAACGCTTCAAGGTTATTCGAACGTGTTAAATTAGGATCAGCCTTCAATGCGCAAACGAAACAATCGTGGAAAAAACATGACAAAAACAAAGGAGCGAAGGCACGCTAACATATTCGAGACACAGGCGCCCTGTTACTTAACCAGGAGGCATAGCTCGAATTACACCAATGCCAACGTCCATCTGAGTTTCGGGGAACAACATTTAACCGAATGCAAAATTTTTTGCAAATATAAAAAAGGGTGGCAAATGAAAGACTGACAAGAACACTTTACGTTGCGAGCTGCGAGTTGCGAGTTGCGAACAGCGAACTGCGAAACCGTAGACTCGCCTGGCTGTGCAGGAGTTGAAGATAACACAAGCAGGCAGCGGACCGCCATCAAATGGTGTTGCAGCGCTACTTAAGACATCCACCCACATAATCCCGGTACATGGCTTGTAGTAACCCGAGGCGAAAAACGCACGTGGGAGGCACATCGCTTATCGGGGCGCATAATGAGCCGCTGCCATCTTTGTCATAAGAGCAGAGAAACAAAGCGGTGAAATTCAGCGCGATTCCTCAAGCACTTGCGGGAGTGTTGCGCGTCCCAAGTCAATGTGGGCATATGACGGGGCCGCATGCGAGTTCTTAAATGAGCACACACGATGAAAATCAGCGACTTAACCCCTTTATGATAATGTTCCGCACGGAAGTGTTATTGTCCTCAGGACAAAGGGACGCACACCATAAACAGTAGCCACCCAGCCACTCCGCCATTCCACCATTCCACCAGCCAGCATCATTGGCGCAGAACCGCCGTAGTCGCAGTCAATGATGATACATAGTTATCAACGGCCACGGACGTAAGCCTGAAGCCTTTGTCCGCCGTCTCTGTGCTTTCTTAATAATGTCATATACATATTTGGAAGGCATAGGTTTAATGCCACAGAAAAGGATGTCCATGGCTCTTCCAGCCTAGCTGTCTAAATCCGTACATAAAGATTACTGGTGGTATATGTATGTGACATATAACTATACGCAATTAAGTATATGTATGCTAAATAGCCATGCCACCTTATACATAGGAAGCATAGAAGCCTTCAGAATAATGTAGTATATTTACTAACTAATATCCTATGAGTTTTGTTTCTTCTATTTAATAGTATAACTTGAATATAGATAAGATTTACTCTAGGTTTTGCCCATTCTTTCTTGGTTTTGTGGAGACCGAATCTCTGAGAGTGGAACTTTTAGGCAGATAATAATTAATCATTCATTGATTATAATTAACAATAATTAATCATACATTATTATTGATTACTTTCTGTATTCAAAAATATATAAAAACATTTGACAGATCCGCGTCACACAACTTGTACGGTATTACGCCTTCTATGCCATTTAGCTATTTACTCGCAATTGTAAACAATCACAGAGGACTGTCACGTAACGGTTAATTAGCCAGCTCCACTAACATATATCCCATTATACAACACCAGCAGAGGGGACACATCATTTTCGCAGCTTACAGCGCGAATGCTGTGGAGGCGCGGCACGTCAAAGTTCTGCGAAAATAAGGACTCACGTCGAGTGCATATTGATGGGAGTCGCGCATTTTAGCGCGACACACTCACACGCCGTGCATCGTTTCGCATTACCTACAGGGTCCGCGTGCATGACCACGTCAGCACCATGGGGGTAGCCTTTAGGGGATGAAAAGTGGGCATCGGCATCGATGGGTGGGAACAGTCGTGCTTGCTCAGAGACGTCGCGATTTAAGGGCATCACACATGATTTTTTGACCCCAGCACTAGACGTGAATGGGAATCGTGCACTGAGGCAGTGCAGAAGGCCATGGTGGTTGCTACTTTAAAAATCGAGTCGGACAACATTAGTTAGAGTCACTCGGAAATGTTGATAGCAAAGACGAACAAAAGTATATTGAGAGGATGTATGGGATATCCCAGGTTTTGATGATAATAATTCTATCATTGATATAACTTTCTTATTTAATATCATCCCAGCTAGATTGAG